GAGAGAAAAAGAGAAACAAAGAAACGAGGATTAAAGGAAGCAAAGTAAACAATGATCCAAAACCGAAAGGTTCGACCCTATTGGCTTTACCTCCACAGTAGAGAACTTTAAGGGGGTATTTCGAATCAGAGTCTAAAGATCCATGGTCCGATCTGCTTTCTGAAGACCCAGATTCCATTTCAGTAGTAGCCATCATAAACAATCTGGACATGGGGAAAATCATCAGAAAGGTAGCAAGAAAATAAAGAGGCTGTTGGCATGACATCTGAACTTTGTTCTTTCTCACAGGTCAGATTTCCATCAGGAACACATGTAAATTGATGTTTACGACTCATAATGCTATTTACGTTCATCTCAAGGACCCTTTAAAAAGGAAGGTTAGAAACAAAGGTCTTGATTGTCTATAAACTTCAAAATTCGATAAAACTCAGCTTTAAGATGAGTCAATAATCTATCCAACAGCATTTAAAGACCGTTTTCTCTTTAAAAGGTTACACAGAGGCATTGCACAACTCAAATTCTTTTCTGTCCATCAGCTCATGATCAAGAAAGGTAAATGGACAATATGAAAAAACAAATACAGCAAATAAAAGAAAAAGGAATCCTGCTTCCGTTACTCCATGTTTGTTTCACTTTAGTTGAGTCACTCTGACAGAACAGAGATAAATATGACTCTGAAGTTTAAAGGTACATTTAATAAAGATATTTTTCTGAAATATTAGTTTTGTGTTTCTAAATTTATTAGTGCAGTAGCAGCCATTCAAAATGGCCCTTCCCAGTCAAACCCCAGCCAAATGGCAGCCCACTTCTCTGCAACTCCCTCCAACTTCCAGCCACTGGAGTGACCTCCTCTTGCATATTTTTATACTCGGATTCCACCCTTTCACTGTATTACAGGGTCTAAACAGGAGGTGATGCTTCGCTTTAGATCTTAATGTCCACAAATCGTGACAGAAAGAATATTTTAGTGCAAAGATTGATGTTTAAAAAGGAATTGTAGGGGACCAGCTAAGGAAAGTGTGGGAATTTTGAATGGCTACTACTGTAAACTGTGCATCATTGGCCAAATCCTAAAGATCCTGTCCTTTAAATTAAATATGAATTGAGACACAAGCTACCTTTTTTTTAAACTAACAAAATCATCATCCCATCAATTGAAAAATTGGGTAAACACTCCAAAAATGATGTCAATCATGCCACTATGATAAAGTCAGGAAATGTGTCTGTAGATCAGAGTTTAATTAAAAACCTCAGACGAAAACTCTGGATTCCTTTCCAGACAGTAAGGCCCTGCTGTGACATACAAAAAGCTGAGAAAATATTTGATGATTTAACCGCAGCCCATCAGTTGAATCTAAATAGCTACACCGCTGAAATAGCTTTAGCCAGCTAGCACATGCGGTTTTATTGGCTGGAAGCGTTTTAAAACAGAGCAGTAAGCGAATATTACCTCCACAAAACATTCAATAAAAACTGAAATATGCTGCGGATCCTGTCACGGCATAAAGCCGAGCTAAAACGGGACGCCAGGCTCTCTGCTCAGCGCTTTCATTCATCAGGTTACGCAGACTCACCAGCTGTCACCGTTAGCGGGCTAGCTAAGCTAAAGCAGCACATCGACTAACTGCAGCTGGAAAAAAGTGATTTAAGACGCGGAAAACGGGCCGTTCCCTACCTCACACGGTAAACTCTTAAAACAGCTGGTTCAAAAGAAGATCCTCTTGCATTATTAAGGTCAGGTTTACTTTTAGAACATTATTCTCGCCAGATAAGGTTCAGTTGGCATACTTCGAGCACGCCTTGTTACACCTCCTCCGAGGGGAGTTTAGCCAATAATATATAGCTGCAGCCTTTCAACACCCTTCTCAGCCACCGTAGACTGGAACTACTTCCGGGTTATGCGGGGATTTGCTTCCGGGACTTTTGGGAGTATCACAAATCAGATTATAATAATTTTGGATGGATTGAATCTATGATAACCAAAATTAGGACAAATTATTTGAAATTCCCAATTCCTCCGAAATATAAAGAATTACAATTTAAAATAATAAATGACATATATCCTTCAAATGAGTACTTAAGAGAGAGATTTAAATTCAATGTTGGGAATTGTGGTTTCTGTACAACTCAATTGGAAAATACTAATCATTTGTTTTATGAATGTAATGAAGTAAGAAACCTATGGGATCAACTTAAGATCTTTCTATCTTCTAGATCTATAAATGTGGAATTTAATTCCTCACAAATAATTCAGTTTGGTTTATATATTAATGAAAAACAGGTGGAATTCTTAGATAAGATTTGATGATTATAACCAAATATTATATCTATAAATGTAGTTATGCAAAATGCTCCCTCTCATTCTCTGCTCTCAAAAACGAACTTTCTTCCTTTAACCGATGTCTGTAAAAGATGCAGAACCTTAAAGCAAATAAATTGTCTGAATTATTGGAAAAATTTCAGTTAGTCCCCTCCCATTAATAATTTATTTAATTTTTTTTTTCTCTTCCTTGTTCTAGCCTCTAATTTATATTGGAGTTAATAGGAGTTGTGATCTTATTTGTTTCTTGTAATGCTCATTATTGACGTATTGATGAGATTGTCATTGATATTCTTTATTTTTTAATAATATATATATATAAAAAAAAACTTTGGATAAATTGGAGACATAAAAGCTTCAAATCTTGGTTTGACTCAGTTTCAGTTTGGCTTTCCGGTTCCACAGTCACCAATTCCACTATTGTTATTTATCGCACCAGAAGTTGATCTGCAATTGGGGGAATTTATTAAAAAGGGAAAAACTCCAGAATAGATTATAGTTAAAAATTATTTTGGAAGACTTAAACATAGTGTAATTATATTTACAAATGGTTACAATTGATTTTTTCTGTATGTCTGTCAGTCTGTCTATGTAGATGGATGGAAGGCTTTTTTTGGCCCACCTTCTCTTTCCTTTCTTTTCTTTTTTGGGATTTTCTTTTAATCAATTTTCACAGGTCAGCACAAGGTGACCTCTAAAAATGTGGTCATTTCAAATGGCTAAATCTGACCATTCAAAACAAAAACTGTTTTTTGTGTGTGTGTGTGTGTGTGTGTGTGTGTGTGTGTGTGTGTGTGTGTGTGTGTGTGTGTGTATCACCTTCATGGCCAATCTAAATTATTTTTAAATCCTTTTATTTGATAATTCTTTGGTAAATTGCTAATATAATGTGGATTTATATATCTAATAATTCATTATACTTTGTGTCTTCATTATGACAGCTGTGGGCCAGCCTAAAAATTTGTGTCGGCTCAACAGCCCTGGTTAGGTTTAAAACTAAAATGGGTTCTACGCTGAGCTCAGGTTGAGGGTTAGGATGAGGTATGCACTGGTAATGATTAAGTTATTGTTAGGTCATAGAAAGGTTTGAAATTGACTGAAAATCACTAAGACTCATCACATGGTTCTGTCTACTGTGTGGGGATGTGTGTAAGGTTGCCAAGTTGCCCTTAAGGGAACTATCCCTATTTTTAAGGAACTATTAGGTTTCTCATTTAATTGAGATTTGATTTAAATGTTTACTAAATCAACTCAAAAATACAATAAACGGCAAAAATTAATGTATAACGTCCGTAGGATCGAAGACTATTCCTTGCCTCGAAGTTACCCTCATCTGATTTTAAATATATACTTTTTTTCCTTCTTCTTTAAATCGCTTTTATTTTGAAAATGTGTACTGGGCGATGGTTTATGACGTCATGTAACAAATTTAACTTTCTCCTTCTCTAACTTTGTGATCTTCTCCCAGAATCTGTTACACATTTGTTCTGGTTGTGTCCATATTCTAAGACTTTCTGGCAACACTTTCCTAACTATGTGGATTCAAGTATTTTTAAAAATTTTCAGCTTAACTGGAAAGACGTTTCATTTGGTTTTCAACTGCAAAGTAAAATGTTTCCCCAAACCTTTCCTTATCAATCTTCTATCTTCTTTTTCTATCTTATATCTTCACTTGCATAAATTTAAATTTCTAAAAAACAGAAAAAAAGGCCAGACCTTAATGTTTATTTAATTGAAGTCAAGCAATATTTTCATACTATTCAACTCTCTTCTCACCAGAAGGCACAAAAAAAACCATAGCAATCTGTTCCCAACTAAAAATTCTGGACTACTTAATGTTGTAGAAGACATTTTTATTTGTAGAATATTTACATGTATATATGT